CCAAACAACCAGATCCAGAAATAAACTACTTCACAAATTACAATCAATTAAACACAATCTTCTCCAAACTAAACAACAAAAAATCCTCCAGCTTCGACGGCATCCCAAACATTTTACTCAAACGCCTGCCGAACAAAATAAGATGGTACTACACAGTATTCTTCAACAATGCACTAAACAACACATATTTCCCCAGGAAATGGAAAGAAAGCCAAATTGATAGCTATTACAAAAAAAGATAAAGACGGCTCATCGCCCGCAAACCTACGACCCATAAGTCTCCTCCCCAACATAAGCAAAGTATTTAAAATAATCATAAACAACTGATTCTCTCGTTTCCGTATGAGCGAGTTAGAAAAGGCGATTTATGAGGAAAACGCTGACCATGCTTTTGTTACTCCTGCATTGTTCCTGCTGACCGTTAAGGCAGGCAGTCAGATTCCTTATAAGACTAAAACGTATCTGCGATCCTTTTAATTAACGACACCGCCTTCTTCTTCTCTCGCGCGATTCCCTTAACCTCTTAACCTATGATTTACGTTCGAGAATTTTGGGCCGAAAACGTAGACATGCTATTATATATTATATTTGGCTCGATCATCGTATTACGAGCTATGCTTGTAATATTTACGTTTGGTCCGATCATATACTACGGGCTATGCCCGCAATATTTACGTTTGTCCCGATCCCGTAGGTTAAGGGATTAATTAACTCACTTTAGCCCACTTTTCGAGAGGCCGAGTTAATTGCACGCAATAAAACTCGAAAATATAATCCACTGGCGAATTTATTTACGTCGCGTGTCGTTGTCACGATCATCAGCCTTTTAGGAAACAAACCTCTGACAGAGTTATTACGCTGTTTCACAGCTCTTACAATATGAGAAATTAATTAATAATAATAATAAATTAATTAATTAACCTCTCTATTCTTCATTACCTTTTTCGTGTTTACGTGTTTAAAATTTCTACATCATCGTAAGAAATATTTCGAATATTCGGGGCTCAAATGAAATTTCCACGGATTATCCCGCGAAGATATGTATGTCGAGTTTACATTAGAATTAGGGTTAGGGGCGTGAAACGAATCTTCGTTTGGATTACACGTGTCGTTATGCAATAGAGAAGACATCGACTAGTGCAAATACGATTATGATAGAACTGGACAAGTTTTTTTTTTTGTTATTTAAAATTTCACATTCACAATTTGTCCAGTAGGACAGTTGGTAAAATATTATAGCGGTGTGCTAATATAACATGTGGGTGGCTACCCCCAGCGGGGTACCATCTTCGTGTTTGTTAAGATATATCCTTTGTGAGATCTGCTGGGTGTTTCCTTTTTAGCCTTCTTTCTCTGGTTGTGTTAAACGTTTCAGCTGCCAGCCGATTCGAGTGCGTTGCTATTCTTTCTCTGTACCTTCTTGCGAATCTGCTAATCTCTTCCTTGACCGTTGGTATTCCAAGGTCTTTCCGTATGTCCTCGCTTCTAACGTACCATGGGGCGTTTACAAGTGATTTAAGAATTTTAGCTTGGATTGTCTCTATTTTGCTTATATGGCTCATTGCTGCTGTTCCCCAAAGTGGTAGTCCAAATTGGTTTAATGACCATTTTGTATATTTTTAGTTTGTTCTCTATGCTTAGTTTGGATTTTCGACTTGTTAGCCAGTACATTTGTCTCCTTGTTATCTGTATTTTGTCTATTATTGATTTAGTATGCTGTTTCCATGAGAGTTGTGTATCTATGTGGAGTCCTGGGTATTTGACTTGCCTTGTTTGTAATATGTGCGTGCCGTTAAGAAAGATGTTTGATGGTATCAATTTTCGCAGTGTGAATGTAATATGGTTACATTTACTGGGGTTTGCTTTAATTTGATTAACTTGTAGCCACTTTTCTATTTTTGGTGATATGTTCTTGTAGTAATGCGACTGCTGTTACAGGGTTAGTGCGCCTGACTGGTACAGCTGTGTCATCCGCGAATGTCAGTATTTTGCTGTTGTTAGTTGTTGGCATGTTGTCCGTGTATAATGTGTATAGAATTGGTCCCAGGACGCTTCCTTGCGGAACTTCTGCCTTGATTTTTTTAGCTTCCGAGTGTATGTTTTTGATTTTTACTATGAAGCTAAACTCCTGCCTTGATTCCTTTAGCTTCCGAGTGTGTTTTTGATTTTTACTATGAAGCTACTGCTGCTTAGGTATGATTTGATTAGTTGGTATATCTGTCCCGGGAACTGTTTCCTGATTGATTGTAGTAGGCTTTCGTGGTTTATTTTGTCAAATGCTTTCTCAATGTCCATAAAGAGGGTTGTACAGTATTGTTTGTTTTCTACTGCTAGAATTATTTCATTTGTAAGTCTGTGCATTTGCTCTATCGTGG